TTAATTGAAATTCTCCCCAAATTGTTTTTTTTTTGGCAGTGAATTGAGCTGCAAAATATAATCAAGATTCAATACTAAATAGTAGGGGTGGAATTAAGGCGAGTTGAGCCGAATATCTAGCTATTCGAGTTTGACTCGTCAATAAAGTATAATGCTCGAGCTCAAATTTGGCTCGAGTCAAAAGATCGTAAGTTCAAGTTTGGCTCGACTCGAGCTCAAATGTGAATCAAATGTTTTATAAAAATGAAAATTATACATATAATTTTTTATTTTTACATATAAAAAATTAATAATTATAAAAACTAGTTGTTATTATTAATATATATATATATATATGTGTGTGTGTGTGTGTGCTACAAGAAAAATGGTCAAAGCTAGCGGTCCTATGACTGCCAGCTTAGGTCTTATGACCGTTAGCTTAGGTCTAAGGCGGCGGTCATGCGTTCGCCCCCCTAAAAAGCTGCCTCCTTAGTTCAGGACCGCCGGCTTAAGTTAAAATGACCGCCACCTTTGATGGCTAGTTGAGGTTCAAATTGCTCTAAAGCGGCGGTCTACCGGAGCTGCCGAGTTAGTGTTAATAAGGCGGCGGTTTTGACCACCGGTTTAGATTTCCTTAGACTGCCGCCTTAGGCCAGTTAAAATGTTTCTTCCGTTTTAAGGTGGCGGTCCGAACCGCCGACTTAGATCTCCTATGACCGCCGCCTTAGGCCGGTTAAAATGTTTCTTTCGTTTTTTGGTGGCGGTTCGGACTGCTGGCGTAGGTCTCCTTTGACCGCCACTTAGGCCGGTTAAAATGTTTCTTTCGTTTTTTTGGTGGCGGTCCAGACCACCAGCTTAGATCTCCTATGACCGACACCTTTTTTATTTTGTATTGTTTATATCAATTTGATTTCAACGTTTTCTTCGTACCCGTTTAATACAAATCTCATGGTAGATAATACATAAAATTTAATTTAAATAAAAATAAAAAACTTTTAATTAAATTATTAATTATTATAATATCCAAAACAAATTGCTTAAATGCAATATCCAATTGACATATAAAAAAATACAAGGAATTTAAAATCTGTGCATAAGGCTTCATGAAGTCCCAAACAACACTTGGTATCCCTGTCTTTCACGTCTGATGTATTACCCTTCCCTACTGCACTTAACCATGTTAGACAGTTTTGTATGCCCTTAGCTTCAATCTGATTTGATGTACTTTTGACATTTAGTGTAAATAATAAAGTGCATGTTTGATTCATGTTGTTTGGTATGATTCGGTGTAAGACCCTAAAACTGGACACTCATAGAGACTCGTGTTAGTTTTAAATGTTCACAGCCATTGGATAAGTCTGGGGAGATTTATCCTG